GCGCGGGGCGCCGGCTGCTGTCTTCCGCGGAACCCTCTGCGCGCGGGATGGGGAAAGTGCGGGCGGCTGCCCTAGCCCTCGGAGGTCGCGCCATTTATTGTGCTCCGGCTTCTAGGAAGCCAGCCCTTGAGAAGGGTGTGTGGCGCGGAGAAAGGCACAGGTTTGACACCGGAGGTCGGAGGGGTAAGCGGCGACTGAGAACAGTCGACTGACTGACTCTACGCGTTTTCCTGAGAGTCCCTGGGAAGCGAGTGCCAGGTCAGCTCCCTGAGCCTCCGATCTGTGCTTGGGCTGGGGAGCAGGCTGGAGACCCGCGCTGTGGGTCGGGTCCGGGAGCGTGCCTGGCCGAGACAGGATAGGCCCTTTCCACCACCAGCCCGTGTTTACACATCCCTGCTTCTCCGGGCTGCGGAACTCCCGGGCGGCTCCACCACTTTACATCCTTCCCCGGGGGTGTAGTGCCTGGCCCTGCCTCCTGGGCACAGAAGTCTCTGCAAGAGGTGGCCGTCTGGGGAGCCAGCTGTATTCGAACCCGTGCTGGGCACCCACCTCTCGCTGGTGGTCCCAGCTGGGTTCCTCGTCTCCGCTTTGGGCACTCCAGCGTCTTCTGGGACCCACTGTTACCCAGCTGCGGAAGAATCGGCCCAGGCACCAAGTCCCCGTCTCTGCTTTCCGAACCTCGTGGTTTCTTTGTTTTTCTCCCCAAGGAAGTGTCTAGTTGCAGAGACTGTAGTATTTATTCACTGTTTTATTCCCACCCCCACTCCTTAAAAAAATCTCCTTCCCACGTTAACAGTGTTCTGTATTTCTGAATCAGGAACAGTGGTGATTATCAGATGAAACATAAGCCTTCTCCCCTCCCTTATTCAGTTAGAAGAAAAGGGGTGAAAATGACCTGATGTAAGCTTTGCATGCAGGCTGCGAATGATCACTTCCATCTAAATCCTCTGGCTCGTTTTCAATCCTGAGAAAATAGTTGTGGTTTTGTTTGGCTAACTAACCCCAGCTGAGTTTCAGCAGGCAAACCTGAGGCTGAACAGGTGCCCCAGCCTCAGAAGTCAAAGGAGCATATTTGGTCAAACATACAGGAAACCCAGCGGATTCCGCCCAGCCCTTTTGGATGGCAGAAATAAGTCGGCGGGAGCCGGGATTTCTTGGTTTTTGTTTCAGTAAAGCAAACGTTTGGATTATACTCTCCCAATTCAGCACCTCGATCCTGGACAGCACCCACAGGACCATCTGTTTCTCAGTCATTTAAATAGCACCCTGGAGTGGGAGGCTTTTTAGGGGTTACTGTATCCTTCTAGGGGCAGGACTGCATTTAAAGTATCCCACAGAGATGAGAAACGGTGGGGTACTTAATATTCCATCAGAGAAGAAAGTCATCTATCAGGAATGGTATGGTTTTGACCAGGGAGTTTTGAAAAGAAAAATCAAGGCGTTGACTGACTGATTCACTGTCATCCCTTGACTTTAGAAATCTAGGACCCAATGCAGGTATTCACTGTCTTCCAGGGCTCCAAGAAGAGCATCTAAATACTATCACGGGGTTGGGCAAATCAGGTACATCTCTTTCTGGTTACTTGACTCCATATATTTGTCTTTAAAAAGACCAGTCTACTTTGTAATAATAATGACAGTATGATAATTGCATATTATTACTATATGAAATATGAAGATTGTTCCTAAGCATTGGGAGTTGTGGAGAAATTTTCAATATACCCAACCTGCAATCAATACCTTAGGGGCAAAATAGCATATTATTTGATTTTTACAATTTGTAAAACTGAATGTTGTTGGCAATGTTGAAACTTGAAAGCAATAAGTCTTTTACAAGAAACTTAAAATGTCATTGATTTTCGAAGTTGAAGAAAAAGAATATATAGCACTTTCAGATTTGATTACAACTTTTAGAGGATTTAAGCAGGGGTAAGAATTGTCATAATTTCACTTCAATAATAGCACATAATTCTAGTATGGAATTCTGAATAAAGGCCTATGTAAGTATTAAGTGTTCATATACTTTCCCATTTACTTCTGTAGATTTTGGATTCTAATCAAAGAAGTTTATCTAAACTTATGGATTACTTGGGATTAGAATTTTTGTATTTTTGTTTTTGTTTTTTGTTTTTTTTTTTGGTATTGGAGATTGAACTCGGGTCCTTGTGCTTGCAAGGCAGGCGCCAGAACCACGGAGCTAAATCTCCAGCCTGAATTTTTGTATTTTTAGCTTGTAGTTTGTAATTTAACACAAACACACTGTTTTGTCTTCAATAAGTGTATAAAGACAGAATTGAAAATTATATGAAAATACCCAAATAGAATTGTTATAATGGATCATTCCATTATCTCCTCCCTCCGCTCTGCTTTTTTCTTCCCTTCCTCCCTCCCTTTCTCCCTTCCTTCCTTTCTTGGTTGTGCTGGGTATCAAATCCAGGGCCTTCTGCATGCTAGGTAAGCACTGTAATGCTAAACTATATCCACAGTCCCATAATACTATTTTACAGCTTTTGATACTCCACTGAGGTTTCCTTAATAGTCTTAGTCCATGCAAGTATCCTAGGAAAACTCTGTTAAGAATTGTTCATATGTTTCATAAATGCTAATAACACCATGCTAGGAGATTTACAATTAATTAGCATACCAATCCTCTGATAGACATTTTTATCTTCATTTTAAAGATAAAAGAGTTGAGGTTGAGGCAGGTTAAATAGTTTTTGGTGTCTTAAGAACCAAAGTTGAATGGCGATCACTGACTCTGGAAACTGTCATTCAGTGTGTTAAGCCTCATCCTATTAACGAAGACTATTTTCTGTTTTAATAATGAAGATACTTATTTTAAAAAGAAGGTACTTTTCATTTTAACACAATTGATCAAAATTTAGTAAAAATACATATTTTAAATGTGACAGTTCAGTAGAATTAAGCGTTTACTTTTGTTATTTGATATAATTTTTTATCGTTTCCATAAATAACTACTTATGTATTTTCTTTTAGGAGTTGATACAAAATTGAAGTTCACTCTTGAGCCGTCGTTAGGTCAAAATGGTTTTCAGCAGGTAACTTTTGGCTTGGAATACACTTATTCTGGTGAAAAAGCAGAGTACACTGAGATATATCTTTAAAATAAAAATATTAACTTTGATATGCATAAGATGTCATTTTTTTGCTTTTCATTTTCGGATAAAATAACTTGAAACAGCAAGTAACCTAGGTTTATACTTGCTATGAAAAATTTTGTATTTTCCATAAATTATACAAATGTGGAAACATTTAAATAACTAAATTTCTGTTATTCTGAACTTCTTATACATGTTTTGGTTTTTGAACTATATTTTTAGGGTCCTTAAGGGGTACAGTGTGGGGCAGTCACATCCCCTAGACTGATAACTTCTGGCTGGAAGAAGGTTTAATTTTCCTAGTTGCTGTACTAATTTTATCATATTCCATGGATATCAAGATAGAGAAAAGTTTGAAAAGTATCCAGGTCAATATTCTCTGATAGTTTTTCTTTGTTCTCAGTGGTATGATGCTCTCAAGGCAGTTGCCAGACTATCAACAGGGATACCAAAGGAATGGAGAAGAAAGGTAAGGTGGTTTCATAGGGCTACAGTAGGAAAGGATTACATGTGTCCTTCTTTAAGGTGTCTGGAATGTCAAAAGTATATTCTAGGTTTAGTAATTTGATTTTTGTCTCTTCGTCACTGTTGCATACACTGAGCATTTATTGATTCATTCACCCTGTGCCAGGTATTGTACTAGGTGCTAGGAATGCAGCAGTGGAAACAAAAGCAGATAGAAGTTTTGTCCTCAGGTAGCTTACAATGAATAAAATATAAAGTATGTCAGATGGTGATAAATGCTATGGATGAAAATAAAACGTAGAAAGGAATAAGGCAAGTGTGGGAGAATAGGGTAAGGAGGTGGAATTTTAAATAGCAAAGTGACATATGAGTAGGGCGCTGAAAAAGGTGAGAAGTCAGCCATGCAGCTACCTGGGAGAAGACAGACTAGGCAGGGGAAACAGTGCAGATGCGTTCACGTGGGAGCATCTCAGGAATGGTGAAGCTGAAGCAGGTGATAGTGATAGTGGGGGCAGGGAGTGGAGCACAGAGAGCAACAGGAAAAAGCAATAGAGAGGGTTATGGAAGCAGTGTGGCGGGTTAGGTCATGTAGGCCCTTGGCTATCGTAGGAGTTGGGCTGCTGCTGACTTGAGAATAGGAGACCAAGACAGAAGGAGGGAGAGCAGTAGGAGACTTACAGTAGTTTAGGTGAGATGGATCAGCGTTGTGGTGGTACAGATGGAGGGGATCAGATTCTAGATATATTTTGAAAGTTGAGCTGACATGAATTCCTGATGGGCTGAATGTCAGGTGTAAGAGGGATGTCAAGGATAGCATCAACATTTTGTCCTGAGTGGCTAGAAAGGCAGAGTTACTGTTCAGAGGGCTGAGAAGAGCAGGGGTGTGTGTTTGGATATAGACATTGATGTATAGCTGGGGTGGTGGTGAGTTACATGATGGTTTTAGATCACCTGTTGAGCTTGAGATGTCTATTAGATGTTGAAATTGAAGGAATTAAGTGTGCATTTGGAAATACATTTTGAGGCTTAGAGGTCTGGTTAGAGATATTAATGACATAGAAAGATATCAATGCTGTTTCTGCCAAATTTTGTTCAAATACTAAAACTTGAAATATATTCTTAGGATATTAATTTATAAATCTAGTTTTAATGCTCTAGAATTCAAATATTGAAGGATCCTAAAAATAAAGATGGCATTATGAAATACATTTTCTACAAACCGATTTACTGGGTAAGATAAATTGTAAAAATATCCAGTGACTTTTTTTAAAAGTTATTCATCATGGGAGTCCATCTGTCAATTTTATGTGTGTGTGAGGGAGGAATGATTTAACAGCAGAGGCCTGCGTGATGTCAGAAGGCCCATTCCTCATGAGTGACCAGGTGGCCCTTGCTCAAACAGAGAGCAATTCAAAGCCAAGAAGAAAACAACTAAAATAAAATTTCAGTAAGCTGAAATAAAATTTGAAAAAATGTTAGTTTATTCTCAGTAGTATTCATAATGTTGGGTTGTTCCTTGGCACACAATACAAACTCAACAAATATTTATGAAAGAATTGATGAAAAGCCCTAAAGGGTACAATTCAGTATAGTAAAAATTTTGAAGAGGCTCTTATAGATCTCTATATACAAGCTATTTGTGGTCTAGGAACAGTTCTATTTTCTTGTTGGGTGCAATAACTATTTTCCAATAAAAGTGAAGTACATATTGTACTTTAGCAATCTTTATGTAATGTTTTAGGTTTGGTTGACTTTGGCAGATCATTATTTGCACAGTATAGCCATTGACTGGGACAAAACCATGCGCTTCACTTTCAATGAGAGGAGTAATCCTGATGATGATTCCATGGGGATTCAGATAGTAAAGGTAATGCCCCTGACATTGGCCTTTTATTCTAACAACAGCAACAGCAACCACCACCACCACCTCTGCCTCTTAAGAGCCAAATGATTCCAAGACAGAGGATCAAATGATCTCTCTGTTTTTGTCTGAATATCTGTGTTTTCTGCCACTTCATTTCATTAGTTAATAGCTTTAAAAAATGGAAAACCTTGAGTATTCCTTGTGTTCATAACTTTAATTATTGCCAGTAAGAAGAAAATTCTTCCACTTATATTCAGATTATTTATCTTCCTCACACCATAGAGATTTAAATCCCCCCCCTCCTTTTTTCCACACAGCTTGGCTCAGTGTTGTCAACTGTATTTTTACATTATAATTAGCCATTGAGAAGTTATGTATGTTCCATTTTAGAATCATTTGGCTCTTATTAGGGTCTTTGATAACTTTTTAACTGTTGTTGATTTATATAGTTAGGTTACCCAATGGATCTACTTTATTATTTATTTATTTATTTGGTACAGGGGCTTGAACTTGGGCCCTTGCGCTTGCAAGGCAGGCGGCAGAACCACTGAGCCAAATCCCGGGTCCTGGATCTACTTTGAACCAGGTGATTGAGAGTTGTAGCTGTGGAGGCAGCTGTGCTGTGCCTACCTGGATTATTACACTTGCTTAGAGCCTGATGCTAAAAGCCAACGATGCAGATTTCATTTGATTACAGAATAATCCTCTTACATAAGGTTTTAGCACATGGTTTTTTATTTCATGAGTGCATTACAGTGTGATGCTAAGATTTTAAAAGGAAGATTGTCTCATCTAAATTTTGGCTGCCACAAGATGGCTAATGTTTGCATATTTGAATATACTTTCTAAAGAAGGAAGTACTAAAACGAGCGACTTTCCAGTCTAACTTGGTCTGTTTCTGAAAAGTGCTAAAGAAAGTATGGCACTTCTCAATGCATTCTTAAAGCCTTTGCATTACCCACATTTCAGTTGTTCATTTGGAATTTCGGAATAGGTTTTACAGAGAAAGTATTTCATATCTGAAATATTTTCTTTCTACTTGTGAATTAAAGCACTGAACATTTATAATAATCATATTATTAAGAGGATCTCTGCTCATTGAGGTGAATGCTATGTCAGTAAAATGACTTCAACTCCTGAAAATCATACTCTGCTCAGTAATTAAGTTATAGATATTGCCCTCATTACATATTAAAGCACAGCAAATGTTTCTGTTCTTACATAAATTTATAAAACAATTTGGATAAACTGTTTTTTCAGCTTCTTAATAGTGCAGATAAATTTTTTGCTATTTTGATTTTACTCCTTAATATTTAGAGTTTTAATAGCTGATATACCATTTTTTTGAGCCAGGCATTGTACACATGTAATCCCAGCATTTGGGAGGCTGAGGCAGGAGATGGCTACAAGTTTGAGGCCAGCGTGGGCTACATAGTGAGTTCAAGGCCAGCCTGAACTACATAGCAAGATCCTGTCTCAAAAAAACAAACAAACAAAGGTATATATATCATATTTTGTAGAAAAGAATCATATTAACATCTATCCTATGTTTGTTGAAATGACTTATGTACATATATGAATAAAACATACTGTCATTTTATATGAATTATGTGTTCTGGAAACATTCTTAAGCAGAAAATATAACCTGAATGAACTTTTTGCAAGAATCTTTCAGCATTTTAAGAACATTAGGAAAAAGAAAACTTAAAGCTGAAAGATTTATATGATGTGAAAAGAAAACAGAGGGAAAAGATAATTAAAAATTAAAATATACTTGGCCCATGTGTATAAGTTACATACACATTTTAAGAGCTAAAATCCAGGCTGGAGATATTGCATACACAAGGCCCCCTATGTTCAATTTCCAGTGCTGAAAAAAAAAGTAAATAGAGTAAAAGGTTAAAAAATGGTTACTAAAAGTCATGTCGATAATTTTAATTGTATTAAATGAGTAGACAAATAACAGGAAGTATTGTTTTTTTGGAGGGAGTATTAAGAGTTTTTTTAAACAATTGCTTCCTTTTCTTTTTAGGACCTTCATCGGACAGGCTGTAGTTCTTACTGCGGCCAGGAAGCTGAGCAGGACAGGGTTGTGTTGAAGCGGGTGCTGCTGGCCTATGCCCGGTGGAACAAGAATGTTGGATACTGCCAAGGCTTTAACATCCTGGCCGCACTAATTCTGGAAGTGATGGAGGGCAATGAAGGGGATGCACTGAAAGTGAGTAGCTGGCTCTGCTGGAGGTAACTGAAAATGTCTTAGAGTGAAAAACAGGAACCATAGTTTTCTACCCATATGCCTCTCCCCTTTCCAATGTGTTTTCCACGCCTTTGTAATTGCTCATAATAGCATCTCTCCCAAGTCAAACCCATGTCAAATGACAGAATCATGTGACTGTCAACTGTGAGGAGAATAATTATGTTTTTAGTCTCACTTATAAGTCGTTGCTTTTTAAAACATATTAAATATTAATTGTATTATCCTTTTTTGGAGTAACAACTTAGCTGCTTAAAACAGCAAGCATGTAGTACTGCGTAGTTTGTTTAAGTCAGATATCTGGGTGCAGCTTAGCCTGCTTATGGTCACCTCACTGTGGCATTAAAAATAATTTGTATTCAAAAATTTCGATTGGGGGTGAGAGCGTTTGCTGATTTTTTTTTCATGTGGTTATTGGCCAAGCTTAATTAACTCCTCACGGGTGGTTGAACTGAGAATCTCAAATTTTTTTTACTGCCTATTGGCTGGAGGCTTATTTCAGATCTTTGCTGCATCAGCCCTTCTACCTTACAACTTGGTGGCTAGAATCTCTCAGAGTAAGTAGGAGAGTTAAAGGGAGAAAACAGGGCAGAAGAGTTGGTTACAGATTTGTAGCCAAGTGTCAGAAGTGACATCCATGATTTTTTTATATTCTGTTCATTGGAAATGATCACCAAGTCTAGTTTATACTCGAAGGGGAGGGCCTGCTATACAAGGATGTGACTACCAAGAGGTAAGGATCACTGGGGGTCATTTTTGAACCTGCCTCTTAACACTGGTTACGTTTAATCCTTGTTGGATTGTCTTTATTTTGTTGCTTTACTCTTTCATATTTTTGGAAAGGTATAGAGGAAGAGGTCTGAGGGTGGCTATAGAAGATGTTTGCGTGGAGAAAGGTTATGGAGGTGACATACATCTTTTAATGTGTGGTGTCTCAGACCTTTATTAATAAAAAACAGTTTTGGAACCACTTTAAGATGAAACACTAGCATGTAAACTTGTAGGTCTGAAGGTGAGTCAGTGAGTCACCAAAAATAATCTTTATGAGAAACAAAGCCTTTCCATTGAAAGATGGCCTTATTTGCTTGGGGCAATTTGGGTTGCCAATTCATGTTTGCACCTTTAAGCTAGTGTTAATTACAGTGTTTGTGACGTATGAGGTGAATTCTTGCTGTCTGTGTTCAAGACCCACTCTGAGTATAGTGAATATTTCAGTGGTATTCTCAACCACCAACCAATGTGATAATGGAAAATAAATATTCCTGGTTTTATAGATCACAATAAATTTAAAAATAAATCCAGTTGGACATGATCTAAATTGGTATTCACCCTCTCACTCTTCCCATTCATGTATTTAAGGAAACAGCTTTGAAACTACTTGTTCACAAAATTGGGGTTGGGGTGAGAGAGGGGCAGTGATGAATCAACTATGTGACTTTAAAATATTTTAAATTAAGAAGCAATTTTGTTTATTCAGTCTATCAGCATTAGTCTTTTTTTTTTTTTTTCTAGGTGTCATTTTTATGACTTTAAAATAGGAACTGTTGAAAAGCTGAAATGAGTGATTCAGGTTAGGTAGGATGGGGAAATTTGGGGAAAAGGGTGTATGTGCCAATCAAATCATGAAAGGACTCAGTGATGCTTGAGAAACTAAAAATTCACAGAAAAAGATAGATAAAGCTGGGAAACTGAATATTCTTTATTTCTGCCTCCAAGAAAAAAAGCGCCATGTATTGAGATACTGTACATCATCACCATTTAGCAATGTATCAACCTTATGGTTAGAATTTTAATATGCAAAGGAGGCTGCTGGTGCTGAGGAAATTATTGTGGGGGTCTGTGTTCCTATTTCTCTGCATTTATTGTTTTCCCTTAGTAAATGTTTTGTTACTTGTTAAACATTTGAAGCTCTCATTATGTATCCTTATTATTTTTAAACGTAAGATTTGGCTTTTGAAATTCAGTAGTGGGTAGAGAGAGCAAGCTGGCTCTGTCTTAATGCTAGACTTTGAGATGACTTTAGACTGAGAATTTTAATTGCTATCGTAATTGAAGAAATATTATTTTTCTTGCTTTCATGTAGTTCTGAGGGACTTGTAATTTCTTAATAAAACGGTATTTTTCTTGGTACTACATAATCCACAGGCCATTACCTTTATGTTTGCCTTTGTGGTCCTATAAATCCCTTCTCTCCTGATCTGTGGAGCACTAGGTTCCTACCGGGGAACTCTACTGAGAATCTGCTCTGTCCCACATGGGACCTCCTCCTTCCACATGGGCTGAATGTCCTTCTTTTCCTATTGCCGAACTCCTTATTCCAAGTGTTGTTACATGGACCAGGTACACCCTATCCTAACATAACAGGCTAAGGTCTGATCACCTCTTGAGCAAAGGCCTCAGAAAGGCCTTCTCAGGAGCCTGCCCTTGCAAACAAAACGAGCTAGAAGTAGAACTTATGAGTCACGAATGAGGAAGAAAAACTGGGTCTTTGGCAGGGCTAGAAGATAACATTTTTAAGAAAGATACTTTTGTAGTATCCTGAAAATGAGAAAATGTGAGACAGCTACTTCTCCACCAACATATAGAGCCAGCTGTGATTTTCTTTTTTCTTTGAGATGCTGGTAATTCACCGTAGGGCTTCATGCATGCTAGGCAAGTGCTCTACCATTGAGCCACACCCCTAGCCTGTGATTTGGCTCTTTTTTTTTTTTTTCCTCCCTAGAACCTCTACAATCCTTTATTGTAGAGACCATCTGCCAGGATGTCTACTAACAAAGGAGAGAGAGCAATATGGCCAAGACAGGGAGCACTTTTTTTTTGAGACAGGGTCTCACTATGTAGTTAAGACTGACCTGGAACTCACTGTGTAGCCCAGGTTGGTCTCGAACTCACAGTGATCCTCCTGCCTCAGCCTCCTGAGTGCTGGGATTACAGGCATGCACCACCACGCCCAGCAGGGAGCACTTCTTATAGGACTGGGGTGGGGTTTATAGTAGCTGGGGTGGGATTGAGTGATGTAGGGGCTAGGGATTGGGGGAGTTTGTGACATTGCTTGAAGGGGCTTGTGTCATCACTGGTCACCAGGAGGTAGTGCGTATCAGGTTACTCTCTTGGCAGGAAAAGAGGCAGCTGGGGTGGGATTGAGTGATGTAGGGGCTAGGGATTGGGGGAGTTTGTGACATTGCTTGAAGGGGCTTGTGTCATCACTGGTCACCAGGAGGTAGTGCGTATCAGGTTACTCTCTTGGCAGGAAAAGAGGCATGATGCGAAGAAGAAGAAGGTCCTTTAGTGGGAGAAGCCATATTTTTAGGTGAGAAACATGGGAGGGGAAGGCTATTCTTTTTATGTAGCGGCCATCATAAGGTGAGAGAAATCTAACATTCCAGGCTTTTGTTTTATGGTTATTGGGTTGAAGGTCTCTTCTTCTGGAGCTGCTTCAAGCTGACAAAGGAGTGAAGATGGGAGCTAAACCTGGATCTGATGGGGGCGGCAATAGAGGGGGTCTTCTTCCCTCTGCCGCAGTGGCCAATACCCTGTCATGAGTTCCATGACAGTCTGGTTGGTAAATGCCCTCATGCATTCCTGCAAGAAAATTTGCAAACAGTGAAGCAGACAGGGCCCCATCATGATTAAAAGACATATACAAGCCAGTGGGCCCAACAAGGGAAGTAGCCAAGGCATACTTTGGGGAAGCCAGGAATAGCTTTTGTCTATTCCCCAAGAATTCCATCATCTCTTTTGCTCTTTGATGTGCTACTGTAATTCTTTAACCTTTGCTTTAACAATCCCTGACTGGTTAACAAAATAACAGCATTCTTTACCTAGCACCTGGCATGTTCCCCCTTGGGTCCCTGTCAGCATATCAAAGGCCCTTCTGTTTTGTAACACAACTGCTGCTAGAGAATTTATTTGACCTTGTACAGTATTTAAGGACTGGCTTATTTTATCCATGTTTTTCAAAATCTCTATGGACACAGCCTGATAGAAATGTGTGGATGTAGAAATGCCTGCTATACCCCTTGCCATGCCAGTGAGGACCCTGCTTCCATCAAGAAGGGGGCCAGGAGGGGGGCTGCCCTCTTGTTGACCTTTGACAGTGGGAGGATCCTTTCAAACATTTGGGATTCTGTATAGATGGTCAAGGAAGGGCTGAGAATTGCTGTGCAACAGAAAATTTCAGGTCAATTGAGGCATTGGAATGTCTCCTGACTGCATATGAAGTATGGGCCCTTGGACAGGCAGATCAGATACTTTTCTGAGATAAAGAGGGAGCAAGTAAGGCAAGTGATGTTGTCATTTTGCCTCGTGCATGTCAGGTTAGAGGTTTATGTAGGGAACGGGAGACCCGTAGTGAAGGGTCCCAGAACCATGGATAAATTGCCAGTATTTGAGACAGACAGGTTAAAATCTAGGGGGATGGGAATTGGAGTGAATGAGTGGGGGTAAACAGACATAAACTTCCAACAGTCTGAGATATTGACAGGGAGATAGTGGAGGGTGGTATTAAATAGGTGTTGTAGCCTTTTATGAGATGAGTTATCTGATTTGCCATTTGGAGATCTATCCCTTTATAGGACGGTGGAGTGGTGTGCCTCAAAAGTATGTCACTGGTGCCTGTTCAGTGACTGCCTCTTTTGGTTATTCTTTTCTGTTTGGTGTTTATGACCAGGTTAAATTGAGACCTGTGTTAATCTGTCAAGGTCAGTTAAGTCTCTTTAGGCATTATTTTGGAACCATGCATAGAGCTTTTTGGCTCCTCTGTCAGTGTCAGCCATTAGGATGGGTCATGGCCTTGCTTGACCAAGTTGTTTTCAGAGAAAGCATGGGAGTATTTTTTTTTTTTTTTTTTCTGTTGGTGACCATTCTTTAGCACATATTACATTTGTCCTCAGGTGTCCAGCACTCTCCCTGTTAAGGAAGTTGGGTAACTTGTCAAAGATGTAAGGTGTTGTAGAAAAGGTTCCTGTATACCTTGGATCTTTGATGACCTTGGAGGGCCAGGCCCAAAATATTGGTGGTCTTCTTGGCCCAGTTACCTTTTGGTGTTGGTCTCTGCTCTTTGGTGGTTGAACATCCAGAAGAGAACGTCAGTGACATCAGTAGTACAATAGGAGCTTAACTATCATAACTTTATCTGGATAGCTAGCACCCTGGAATCTAAAATATAGTTAGAGTGCTATTATTTTTATCAATCATGGTTCTAGTAGTTGATTTCCTGTAGAATATTAACAGAAAAACTTGGAATCAGGAGCCACACATAGTAATAATAATATTTTATCATGACAATCATGATGACATTATCTTTGCAACAAACTTAGATATGTATCTTAGTATAAAATAGCCATTGTTACATATATTTATTCCCCTCTAAAACCACATAATAACAGAAAAACAGGAAACTCTTACTTAAGTTATTACCTTTTGATAGGATGCCATCTAAGGAAAGTGTATGTGCCTGTGATCATGGGTAGGTAGAGCAGAAGAGAATATATATATATAATGTGTGTGTGTGTGTGTGTGTGTGTGTGTGTGTGTATATATATATATGTCCATAAAGATTTTCCTGTCTGTAGGAAATCACAGCTGATTTTACTATGGAGCAAGCAGGTCTGTAGCCAGCGCTGGGATGTAACCCAGCATTTAGTCTTTGAGCTCCGATCTTAAGTACTGCATTTTCTTTGAATTGTTTTAAAACCTCATAATTTATTTTCCAATATTTATGTAGAAAATAATAGGGCCTGATGGAATTTCTTTATAATATAGCCTGCCAAACAAGTTGTTGATATGTAAGTAGGCAGGGTCAGGAGAGGATTTTACTTTTTTTTGCAGAGTCTTGCTTTCCTCTCATTTCCGGGGTTGCTGGGGAAGGAAGAACAAATAGAGAAGTGGTTGTTAACTCACTCTCCTGTTTGGAAGTGGCTGGAGGAGCAGGGTGAGAGCAGTTATGTGGTGGAGAGACACAAGATGGCAGAGGTGAGGAAGGGTCACAAGATGGTGGAGGTGAGAGAGGTTCACAAGATGGCGGAAGTGAAGAAGCCCACAAGGAGATGGAACAGCTGGCCAGGTTATAGGGTGGGGGAGGTGTGAGTGGTGAGTGATCCACCAGATGGAAAGTGGGGGTCAGGAGGGGTGGAGGATGGTGTTGGGGCTAGAAGTACCTGAGAAGGTGAACAGGTTTGACAGAGGGAGGGACGAGAGGGTAGACAGAAGGCTTGTGTATAGGGGCTTTCTGATAATTTTACATTGCATTGACAAAAGTTGCACAAATTGTACAATATATTAAAATTGAGAGTGCCATTTTCTGGCCATTGAGATTCATTGTCTAATTTGTACTGAGGCCAAACTTGGTTGCAACAAAAAAATGAGTTGTTTTCCCTTAAAGTTGGGTCCCAACAATGCAAGGGAACAAAGTTGTGCCAGGAGGCAGCCAAGAGGCATTGAGGGAGGCGGTTTGGATTGTTGGGTGCCCATGTTAGGGTGGGTAAGGAGGAGTTAGCTCCCTGAGGAGGAGGGCGAAAGAGAGGAAGGTCTCCGTCTCTTTTGATACTCTCCAAGCTAGTCCCTGGAAGGGAAGAATGAGAGGAGTCAGGCTGATGGGGTGTCCCCCAGGGGCATGGTTCTGGGCCCAGTAGCCCAAGAGGGTCTCTCTGACCGAGCGCTTGGATTTCCGAAGAGTCCCTGGAGGAAGAGAACGAGAACAAGACAGAGGACCCAAGTAGAGGGAAGGTAAACTGCATACTCATAATCAGTGACCAGTGTGGATGCATATTGTCAGCATTGGCAAAGGCAAAGAGCCCGGATGAGGTCCTGGCTCAGCAGATATGGTCTGGAGGAGGCGGCCAAAAGGCCAGTCAACTCTGTCCCACAGGGAATTGTCAGTCCATGACCTTCCTCCCAAGTTTCAGCACCAGATATGTCAGGTAAAAAAGCTGAAAACCAAGACAAAGCCAGAACCACTACAAGTCATTATTTTAGGGACAATCTGCTGGATGTCTCCAAACAGAGGAGAGAGAACCTGAGTTTGCTCTTAATTTTGTTTTTCTGGTGCTCTCAGGAGTGAGCTTGTATTTAAGGGAGTTTACAGAGCATGCCAGGTGACAGGAAAGATAAAGGTACAGAGCTGGTTTGTGTTTTGCTAGGTCATTCTAGTGATTCTTTACGTTTTAGGAAAGGTAGTAGAGGGCCAGGGATTTAGCTCAGTGGTTCGGTGGCCTGCCTCGCAAGTGCAAGGACCCGAGTTCAATCCCCGATACCCGCCCCCACCTAAAAAAAAAGAAAAGAAAAGGTAAGTAGAAAAGTCAGAATGAAAATACTAACTTGAAAAATTTGTGTGACAACCTTATCTCCCAGGAGAGGAAAATGAACAGGACCACCAGTTGCACTAATAACCCAGGTTGATGGGGAGTAAATATCAAGGCCTGCCTCAGTGTGGGTGTTTTATGACAGGCCAGATCATGGAGGTTGTAAAACTGTTGATACACAAGAGCCAATCCTGAGGCCCCTGCTGGCTGCTGCTGAGGCTTGTGCTTTCTCACTTCAGTGAGGCTGAGGGTTGTGTAATCATAGCTACTTACAGGCTGGACTCAGGTCTGGCAACTCATCTAAAAATTTTAAATAGCAGCAGACTTTAGGTTCTGAGTTACTTAGATAATTATGCTGACTGTTCCTTACACAGGGTATAGATAAGCTTTGAAAAACCCAGAACATTCAATACTGACATATTTAAAGGACACTGTGCTTTGGCCAACTCTATTTTATGTATTTGAATGCATTCTTTTTCTTCAGGACCTGTTGGGATCCAAGTTGTTACGAAGCAGTTTTGTTCTTTATCTTTTTCTTCAGATTATGATTTACCTGATTGATAAAGTACTTCCTGAAAGCTATTTTGTCAATAACTTACGAGCATTATCCGTGGATATGGCTGTCTTCAGAGATCTCTTGAGAATGAAGCTCCCTGAATTATCTCAGCACCTGGATACTCTTCAGAGAACTTCAAACAAAGAAAGTGGAGGTAAAGATGATTCATTGCTATTATATCTTTGAAGATATTTTTGTTCTCTGCTTCCACTCTATAAGTTTAAACTTGAATAAAAATACATGTTTCCAGGTATTTCTGTTGTAAGAGTTTGGTGCAATGAATAGATTTCTAGAGAATAAAAACAAAACTGAAAAAAATATATATTCTAATCTATAAGGCTACATGTTGAACTTCTAAATGGTTATGTATAGGAATTGGTCATGAGTACCTTTGGTACCAGATCAACAACTAACAGGATATATTTACTCTAGGACGAGAATGGGTTACATGTATTACAATCCAGTTAAACTGCTCTAAGCTGACACAAACATGAGGTCTTCATAGCAGAGTTGCAGGTGCAGTGTGGGTTTACCAGAACCACTGAGGTTACAGAAAAGTTGCTCTGTGAGGAACTGGGCTAAGGAAATACACCTACTGCATGCCTTTTGTGGCTGGCTAAGCTCTGCACATCAAAAAGGATGGTCAGATGTTTGCTGAGTTTCCTGTATGTGGTTGCCAGTTCAGTTCCTTTTGTAAGACTGTGCACTCATAGTCTTGTCTGACCCACACATTTAAATATGGGAATATAGTAAAAGATTTTGAGGATCTAATCTTTGATTAAAATACAGTTGAAATTTTAAGGCAGTTGGGTGTCTCTAACATTTCTTTGAAGCCATTTGAATAATGTCTTTTAATTTGATGTGCCATGTAACTGTATACCTGCATGGATTTCATAATGCTACCAGGTAGACGAGACTTGCCTGGCCTATAGTTAGACACACTTTATTGAATTATACATTTCTTCCAAATGCTTGTATTTGGCTGTGAAGAATAACCTCAGATTCTAGTCTCTGAGTAAATGTTTGTTCAAAGGTGAGGAAGAAGAAAATGAGTTCAGGAGAACAGATCTCTTTTGTTTACACTTAATTATACATACTGATTATAATTGCGAGGGATGATTCCTCTAAAAAGCTAAATTTTTGTATTTCATTAAATGCACACTTATCACAGGAAGTGAGAGGGAATGTTGTGCATTTAATGAATTCAGAAATTTCATAATGGATTGGGCCCCAAATATTTCTTCAAAACTGTGTATAATTTATTTCAAAATGTTTTGTATTTAATGCTGTTTAATATCTAAATATTGTGTAATTTTCTAGCTAACTTTCTGTTAATTTCTAGTTTGTCCATTGTGATGTAATATGTATGTAATTTAAGATAGATAATTTATAATGAACAATCTTATTCTTAGACACATTTGAATAAAAGGCTTAAAAATTTTTGAAAAGTTGATGGCTTTTGCAAAGCTAAAAATATTTTCTTTTTATTCTGTTTTTGTTTCTCCTTAGTTTTCAGTACCCTGTAATAGGTAGAGCCAGAGTAAGTTTTAGGCTAAGATTTCTGAGTTTTTATAAAGAAATGTGAAGCACATGTCACTGAGATTTTATTACAAACACTTAAATGTGGAAGAAAGAACCAGGAATTAGAATTAAGAAAGCAGTCAGTAAAATATAACATTTTTGGTAGACTGAAAGAGGAGAGGGTATTTGTATATTCTGAAGGTGCTCAATTCTGAAGAAACTTCATTGCTGTTTTGTTTCAGGTGGATATGAACCCCCGCTTACGAATGTCTTCACAATGCAGTGGTTTTTGACCCTCTTTGCCACATGTCTCCCAAATCACACAGTATTAAAGATCTGGGATTCAGTCTTCTTTGAAGGTTCAGAAATCATCCTAAGGGTGTCTCTGGCTATCTGGGCAAAGTTGGGAGAGTAAGTGATTTCTCACTTCTGCTGTGTTCTGTCATATCAAGAGTCTTAAGTAATTTTTGTGCTCTTTTTTTTTTCTTTTTATTGAGTTTATTGGTACATTTTAGGTATACAGTACAGTTACATTCATCATTGGGATCTTGTACCTTCATATGACAGGTCTTGGTTCTCATTTTTTCCCCTTTGTCCCTGCCCTCCCTTCACCCCTTCCTCCCCTCCCCGTTTACAAACACTTTATTTCCATTTTTTCATTTTCTCATATTTTTTCTTTTCCCTTATTACCTTTCTCCCACCCTTCCCACTTTCCCTTCACCTTTAGCCCTTTTCTTCCTATTTCACAGTGTCAATTATCTGATTAGGATCTTATGTACTATTACAGCTTTTCACACCAGAGAAACTATTTGGTATTTACATGTGTGATTTATTTATTTCACTTAGGAGTATATCCTCAAAATGTATCCATTTTCCTATGAATGAATCTAATTTCTCATTCTTTATGGCTGAGTAGTATTCCATTTTATAGAAAAACCACATCTTCTTTATCCAGTTTCCAACGGATGGGCAAATGGGCTGTTTCCAAGTTTTAGCTATTACAAACTGTGCTGCTATAAACATAGGTGCGCATATATCACTGTGATGTGATTCTTTTAATTCTTTTGGAAAGATACCCAGCAGAGGGATGGCTGGGTCAAATGGAATCTCTAGTCCCAGCTCTTTGAGGTATCTCCATATTGATTTCCATAGTGGTTCCATCAGTCTGCACTCCCACCAACAGTGGAGAAGGGTTCCTTTCTCCCTACAACCCTGCCAACATTTGTTATTGGTTGATTTCTTGATAGCAGCCATTCTTTGTGGAGTGAGGTGGAATCTCAGTGTTGTTTTCATCTGCATCTCTCGAATGACCAGTGATGTGGAACATTGTTTCATATATTTACTTGCTGCTTTTACTTCTTTGTCTGAGAAATGTCTATTCATTTCAGGTGCCCATTTTTGAATTGGGTCTTTACATTTGGGGGTGGTTGATTGTTTTGAGTTCCTTATATATTCTAGATAATAGTCCTTTGAGGAGCAGCTGGTAAAATTTTTTTCCCACATTGTAGGTTGTCTTCTAGTTCTGTTGATGGTTTCTTTTGCAGTGCAGAAACTTTTTAATAAGATGAGATCCCAGTTGTTGATTCTTTGTGCTAGTTCCCGTGCTACTCTTTTTTTTTTCAGCTTTAATTAAGTTTATTGGTACATTTTAGGGATACAGTACAGTTACATTCATTATTGGGATCTTGTACTTCTACATGACAGGTCTTGGTTCTCATTTTTTCCCCTTGTCCCTGCCCTCCCTTCACCCCCTCCTCCCCTCCCCATCTACAAACACTTTATTTCCATCTTTTCATTATGTCACATTTTTTTCTTTTCCCTTATTACCTTTCTCCTACCCATCCCACCTTCCCTACACCTTTAGCCCCTTTCTTCCCATTTCACAATGTCAGTAATATTATTAGGATCTTCTGTATTATTGCAGTTTATTCACACCAGAGAAACTATTTGGTATTTACACATGTATGACTTATCCATGCTACTCTTAAGTGTAAAGCATTGATATTTAAGTGTGAGGTAAAGAGAAAGTTGTAAACGTGTTGAATTGCTTTAACCTCCTCAAGTCTCAGCTGGCTGTTCTGGGACAGGGGGAGTCTGGGAAGGGACCGACTTCTTCAGACCTATGGGAAGTCCCTTTCCTCCTTGGCATATGTATCCTGGCTGATTACCTCCTTGTTGGCATCTTTCTGGTTATGTGTGGAAGAAAGAGGGGTGTTCAGAGCAACTGAAAGATCTAGAGGAGCATACGGATTTGTTGAGTTGTATCACAATTTGTATTATTTATGGGTCTTTAGAACTTATTTTGACTTTCAGGGCTGTGATAAAATTGAAGTTATTTTTTTGGTGCACAGTTATGAGTAGAACATATGGACTCCTTTCTTTTCATCAAGAATCACTTCTATGTTGAAATCTGGTTCTGCCAAAGCACAGATTTTAATTACATCTTTTACTAGCTGAAAAAGCCAGGGGGAGGGTATTTCCACTCATCCCTAATGTATTATGCCTCACTTACTTTGTATATTTTGGGTAATGGAAGATACATGAGGATGGATCTGTAACTTGAGAAACAGACACTTTTCAATACTTCTTTCTTAGTGAGCGGAGTGGGTAATGGACAATATGTTAGAAAGCAATGCACCACTGGCAGGGCTTTGTTTCAAAAACTTTCTAACTAGCCTTTTTATTTATGATAACTTGTTTCCTAGGAGACTTCCAGCATTTTTTTTTTACAGAAAGATCCACCACATATCAGTTTGAGACTTAAAAATCATTATTATGTATAATTATTTTTAAACACCACATAGCTATCTCCTTTGCCTTATTGTGTATTGGTTTGGATAGGCCAATAAATTCACCTATTTGGGGACTGTTCACTTACCTCTTCACTGTCTCCCACATCTCCCTCCTTCTGCAGTTACGCATTTCTAAACTGTTCTACGCATTGTAAACTTTTGAGCTTTGATATTTTCTCTGGTTATTGGATAACTAGGCCCCCACCCCACCCTCACATCAGGGATTATACTCAGGACGTTGCACTTGCAAGGCAGGTGCAGTGCCACTGAGCTAAATCCCCAGCCCAGGAACTAGTTTCTAGAATTAAAATAGTAAAACACTCTACCATGTGGTGGGTCAGTAATAGTCACCTGTGTGTTAGTTGATGATGATGGGGCAGGAAAAAGAGATAAAGCTGGTTTTATTCCTATCTATTGGTAGGATCAATTGTAGCATCAGAATGTATTGTTATGGTAGTCCCTGAGATGTCACAGTGTTGAAGTAAAAGTACACGGTACCTGCAAGTAAAAGCCAGTATTCATTGAGTTTTTGCAGTGGAAAGGTACTGTCTCAAGTATTCCATGTTGAGTATCTCATTTATTCTTCACCACCGTCCAGTGAGGTGTGTACTATTATCATCTTCATTTTTCAGATGTGAGAACTGAGGCTCAGAGAAGTTCAGTGCACTGCCTAAAGTCACTGTATTAGCAGGTAGAATGGATGGTTTTGAACTGACATCCTGACTCTAGATTCTGTGCTAACTATGCAAATATATTGATAATAAGTGGCCACTCTTTATGAAGTTCAGGATTTCAAATGTCTCAGATCTTTAGGATTTTTATTTTATCAATACATTTTTGTAGTACATATGATTACATTCATCACAGGGATGTGGTACATGAACATAACACATCTTAATTCTTTTTGTGTCTGTCTCTTCCCTTCTCTCTGACTCTTGGTCTCCACATTTACAAAAAAATCTATCTCCCTGTTTCCTATTATCTTTTATATTGCTTTTTTTTTTTAATACTTAAGTACTTTGGGTTTCTTATATAAATAAGACAAATCATGTGATATTTAAACATGTGTCTGATTTCTTTCAATATTATGGTCTAGATGCATCTATTTTCCTATAAATTACTCAAATTTATCCCTCTTTATATCAGAGCACTACTCTATTGTGTATAAGTACTATATTTTCTTCATTCATCTGCTGATGGACATGTAGGCTGCTTCCAGGATTTAGCTATTTTGAGTTGTGCTGCTGTTTTTGTGCTAGTGCTTTTGTTTTTATTACCATAGCTTTGTAATATAACTTAATTTGGGATTGTGATGCCTCCTGCTTTGCTTTTGTTGCCCAGTATTGCTTTTGCTATTCTTGGTTTCTTCTTGTTCCATATAAATTTTAGGTTTGTTTTTTCTGGTTCTGTGAGGAATGCTATTGATACTTTGATTGGGTTTGCAGTAAATCTTTATATCAGTTTTGGAAGCATGGCACTTTTGACAGTATTGTTTCTGCCTGTCTAGGACCAGGGGACATCTTTACATTTTTTGCTGTCCTCTTCACTCTCCTTTTTCACAGCATTATAGTGTTTGGTATAGAGGTCTTTTACTTCTTTTGTTAGGTTAATTCCAAAGAATTTAATTTTTATTGATGCTATTGTGAATAATACTGGTTTCTTAATTTCTTTTTTGGTGAATTCATTGTTGGTGTATAGGAATGCTCTTGATTTTTTGGGTTAATTTTGCATCCTGATGCCTTGCTGAATTCGTGTACTAGTTCTAGGTATCTTTTGGTGGAATTTTTCATGTCTTGTATAAAGGACTATATCATCTGTGAATAAGAAAAGTTTGACTTCTTCCTTTTGTATATGTCTCCCTTTTACTTCTTTCTCTTGACTGGTTGCTGTGGCTACAGTTTCGCTAATCAGTATTTTAAATTCTTTCCCCATTCTTGGAAAGTTTTCTGCTATTACTTCTGCAAACAGATTTTTTAATGCCATTTGTGCTATCTTTTGAAAAATTTTTTTTACTAATTCCAATTAATCTTAGTCTTTGTATTATGTAGCTACTTTTTGGGTCCATTTTCCATACTCTCTTGTAGTTTTTAAGGTATCTCTGAGTATGGGGACACCAACATCAGTCCTATTTTCTAGTTCTGACATTGTCCTTGTATTGGTTACTTCTGCTGCCCATGTTTTCCATTTATTTATTTTTTTAATCTCCTATGTTTCTATTTGATATCTTTTCATGGGCTCGAATTCTTTGCTAAATTGGTCATTCATGTTTTGTATCATTTGGTTTAACTCAGCTAGCTTTTTGTTAGTGTCTTCTATCAGCTCATTGATCACATGTTTACTAAGTTCATTATCTGCTTAGTTATGTCATCTTTCAGCTTGTTGAGTACTTTATTGATCCTTTCTTTGTCCCCTCTTTTATTATTTCATATAATTCAGCTATTTGGCTTTTGATTTCCTCCCCATCAGTGCTCCATGGATTAACTCTGGAGGAGTTTGGAGTCTGGGAAGACATTTTGTTGTTTTCCCATGTTTCTATTGTTACTGTCCGTTGAGGTTTGAGGGTCAGTTATAATGGACAAATACGTTGCCAACATGGCAATCTCTTTGGTTAGTGTCTGTTTTCCAGTGATGCACTGTTGTGTGGCTGAATATAGGCCTTTGCTCTATTCCAAGATCTGATCACCGCTGTTAATTTGGGGAGGGTACAATGTAATTGGCTCAGCACTCATTTCTCTTGAAATGAACTGCACTGTTGTTAATGACACGAAGACAAGCCAGATATCGGTATATAGAAAAAAATCAATTAAGGTACAATGATGTCACCCTGGCAATAGTAACAAAATCAGCAGCAACAATAGAATCAAAGACAAACTGGATATGAACATACCACAAGAGCCAATAGTAGTTACCATTGTACAACCTTTAACAATAGAAAGGAGATATGTAATTATGACAGACACAAAAGTACACCAAATGTTGATATATAGTAATAACTAAATGCAACAACTATACCATCATTAGCAATAGAAAAGGATTCAAAAATAGTCAAGTATCTGAAGATAATAAAACTTAATACTAGTAAAGATGAAGGAAGTGGATAAGGGGTGAGTGAAAGAAATAAAATTTGAAAAATAAAGAAAAGGAAAATCGGTTCTTATTTTTTCCCCATTCCCCTGCCTTCCCTTTACCCCCTCCACCTTATTTACAAAGACTGGTTCCATTTTTTTTTGTTTTTTTGAGACAGGGTCTCACTATGTAGTTCACACTGTCCTGGAACTAACTGTGTAGCCCAGGTTGGTCTACAACTCACAGTGATCCTTCCTGCCTCAGTCTCCTGAGTGCTGGGATTACAGGCATGCGCCACTATGCCTGGCGACTAGTTCCATTTTTTTCATTAAAAGAAATATTATAAGGAGTAAAGTAAGATACAAGATTCTATTAAGAAGTAAAATAAAATCAATAGAATTGGATAAAAGTAACAGAAAAGAACAGACAAGAGAAATAAAGAGAAAAAAAATCCTTAAATGCTCAGAATTCAATGATGAAAAAGAGATATGAGTCCCCAAAAATTTCCTCTGTGGTTTTTAATGAGTGATTTTTTTCCAAGGTCTGCAGTATTGGGGGGGTGGATAGTGAGTCACTACTAAAACCTGTTTTGTTTCCACATCCATGTTTTTGTGTGAATGCTGAATCTTGCTCTGCCTTTCCTGTGGGGTGTGCTTGGTCAATAATATTGATCCTATAGCTAATTCACTGAGCCACTTCCAGGTTCCCTGCCCCTCTGTCTGCCCCAAGTCACAGCTTTCTCTGCTGTGTGTTTGTGAAGTGCCCTTGCACCCTAACTGTGGGAACCATCCAAGCTGAAGTGTATCCCTGTTCACATTGGCAGATGGAGAAGGAGAACAGATTGCTGAATTCATGCTGGGTGTAGGTAGTGGGGCAGGGTCAGGGGATCAAGCAATCTGCTGGACGCCATGCTTGTCCTTTCAGACCCAGCCCCAGCTGGAAACTGTATGACCAGCTTGGTTCCTCACCACAGGGAGCAGGCTCCTCATGTCCTTCCCAGCCCAAATTTAAACTTCTCGGCATCTATGTCAAGTTTGCATCTTCTCCATGACTGTCTCTTGTGGACATCTTTCACCAAGTCACTGTGATGGGGTGACCCCAGAAACCCTGAAGTGTATTTTTTCTGTGGCTCAACCTTAAACAACCCCTTCCCCAAATGGCTCCTGGTTAAACACTCTACTGTGCGGTGAGAGCTACACTGGATTCTTTCTCCAACTCTAGCCTTCCATACAAAAGTAGTTACTTTTAGAGCAAAACCCCACACTTTTTTTTTTTTTTGAGGTAAGGTTTCACTATGTAGTGCAGTCTGGCCTTGAACCCAGCTGGCCTTGAACTCATGGCAGTCCTCCTGCCTCAGTCTCCCAAGTGCTGGGGTTAAGGTGTGTGCCACCACGCCCTGCCGCCGTACTGTTTTTGCAGTGTACAATAACCATGGGCTTTCGTTGGGGCTAATGCTGCTGGCTCCTTGCTGGAGCTGTTTGAGCCTCTCTGGGCTTACCCTGTATTAGTGAAGACAGGTCCTCCTTCCTGAGAGCTGGGGTTAGCCTTTCTAACTGCTTTGTTGTTTTTCTCTGTTTTGTGCTCAGTTTCTTCGCCTCTGTAGCTTCTGGTTTTCCTATCATCTCCCTTCCATTCCTGAGGTCCACTTCTTTTTTTATTCACTCAGTCGTTTCCAGGTATCTCAATTCTAGGTTGTAGGGAGGGTATATTTTGCTTCCAGTCTTTCTGTTCCAGAGTTTTTGCTCATTAAGAGTGTATGTCCTTTGAGCCCGCACTTGTGAGTGGCAAAGGAAGACAAATGACAAATGTCAAGTATTGACAGTGGGGGCTGTTGGGCAGAGTCATTCAGTTGGGGACTCCAAACACATCATCTTTTCTAGTTCTTCCAGTAGGCTTGTGAAGTGTGAAAGATTTTTTCTGTATCTTTTCAAGTGAAAAAACCTATCCCAGGAAGGTTAATTAGTCACATGCTTAATGAGTAGTAGGGCAGGGACTCACATCTGAACCTTTCTAATTCCAGTGTATGCTATATTCCCCACAACTATTCTGTTGGAGAACCATAAACAACATATAGGTAATCTCTAGTTTTTATATACCCGAATAATATATGTGCCTTACGTATGAATGTACCTCCATTCACCTTGCATCTGCAGCTTGGAATTTTTTCCTTTCACTTGACTGTAAGTTGTAGATCATTAATTCTTCCTCACTAACATCTGTCTGCATGTCCTTTTCCCTTACATGTCCCACTCTTTTGCTTCATACCAGCCCTGTTGTGGTATGTGCTCTCTCATCTCCCAGTTATTCCCTATACTTTCCATGTGTATTAGTCTGCTTTCCTGGGACACAATACGCAACATCTTCAAATTAAAGAGGAGAGGTTTAATTTAGCTTTATTTTAAGTGTATTTATTTGGTGGTTGGCAGGCTCCAAGGCAGAAACCTCATGGTGGAAGGGTTTAGAGGAGCAAAGCTCAGTTCATGGCAGTTCAAAAGCAGAGCAGGGGAACAGCACTAGAGAGGAAGAGGTGAGGCATAGACCCCCGAGGCCATGCTGTGGCCCACCCAGTCTCCTGCAGAAGTGTGTTCCACCAATCTCCTGGGTAGATGCCAAAGCCAGTTAATAGTCCATCCCAAATGCCACACTGTGTCACCTCCTGGATGATCTTGCCAAGAGCACAGCTACTAAAAATCTTTCCACCCATCTTATCCTATAGAGGCTAAGCTAGTAGCTGAGGCCTTTGTGATCTGCTATCTGCAGCTCTCTTACCTCAGCCCTCCCTGGCTCCCTCTGGCTGTGCAGTGATCCCCCACTGGTCTTGTGGAGTACTTGCAGGCCCTGTACAGGCCTGCTGCTTTCTGCTTCCTGGTCTTTGCAATGTTTTTTTTCCCCTTACAGCCTGGAGAGCATTTTTCAAAATTCATCTCAAGTATTTTTTCTCTTTACTCCCTGGGGTGTACTTAATCACTTTTCATTTATTCCCACATGCTGTGCAGTATTTTTGAAATAATGCTTCAACTCTGTTTCTTTTATTTATTTACATGATTGCGCCACTGGGGTTTAAAGAACATTTTGGAGCCAGAGTTTTTTCCATTGCCATATTCTTTTTGGATGACTTTAAAACTGGTCCTACCAATATGCATGTCAAAGTGTGTTTTATGATTGGTTGGTAAACAGAACTGTTGTATACAAAGAATATTATAATAGGTGAAACAAGAATACTTAGTGCTCTTTGATTTATGTGAAACCTCACTTAAAGGAAAGATTAAAATCTAACCTGTCTCATAGTGCTGCCAGGTGATAGAATCTTCCCTGAGAAGAACTCAGAAAGTTCTGCCTGTGAAAAAATTCTGTGAACTGATGAAATATGCAAATAAAGTTCGTGTATTTTTTCCCCTTTTAATTCAACTGTGATTTGATTTCAGTCTGCTAATGATATCACTGCAGATTAATAGCACTTTACCTATAGGGGATAATTGTTCTTCAGTACCCAATTTTGCACATGTGATTTCTGTTCAGTGGTGGGTATTCTGATGTATTTAATGTGTCACATGGAAACAATGAAGATACCACAGTGGGACTGTGAGGCTGGGGGAGCCAAGCAGGAAAGATGGGAAATCATTCTGCAACAAGTACCTCTAAATGGCTGTTTGTTTTGAGATGGGGGTCTCACAGTGTTGTCAGGCTGGCCTTGAACTCCCGGACTTGTGCAGTTCTTTTGCTGCTCAGCCTCCTGAATAGCAAGAACTATAGGTGTGCATCATTGCTCCCAGTGTGCTTTTGGTATTGTTGATTTTTCCTCCACATATAGCATGCTCTCTGTGAATGTGACCCAGAAGTTTGGTTTTTGTTGATTGCCAACTTGATTGATTTGATGACAGGGAGCAGCACATCTTGTACTTGCAGCATATACTTGTTATATACAGCATGAGTACCCTAGACCAATCCTTTCTCTGTCCTTCCTTCATCTAGACAGATAGAATGTTGTGAAACAGCAGATGAATTCTATAGCACTATGGGGCACCTAACCCAGGAGATGCTGGAGAATGACCTTCTACAAAGCCATGAACTCATGCAGGTGAGTAGGCAGCGTGTTCAACCTGGGTGTGGGAGCCCAGGGTACTGTGGGTATAACTGGTGCTGGGCAGTGGTCATGGGAAATGGCCACTCTCAGTTTTTCAGTTGACTAGAGTCAATATATAGTTTGGTAAGAATCTGTGTCACAAGAAGAGAGAAGAGACCAGGCATGGTGGCACATACTTGTAATCCCAACACTCAGAAGGCCGAGGCAGGAGGATCACTATGAGTTCAAGGCCAGCTTGAGCTACATAGTGAGACCCTATCTCAGACAAAACAAAACAAATGCCTAAAACCAACCAACCAACCAAATAAACAAAAACCCCAAAACCACAAGACAGAAGAAATGAATGTTGGCTCTTTGTGGGGCCCTCTTTCAAATCATGTTGCTTAAAAATCGAGCCCAATATAAAACTGTAAAAGAGAAGATAATATTACCTGATGCTTATTCTGAATTGGATTCTTCATGCCTTTAAAGAGAGGGTTATGGGGTAAAAAATTATTTTTGGAAAGAAATTATTGAGGGTGAAAGAGGAGATTATTTTTAATCAACCTTTTGGGTTATTTCCAAGTCACTAAAAGTCACAGTTTTCAGTGAGGAACACTTGAAGGATTTGGTTATTCTGTGGGATGTAACTGTAGCTTAAGATCATGTTTAACAAGTCGCTGAAATGGACAGTAGGCATCAACAAAGATAGCTGACGTATGAGTATTCTCTCTTCCTTTAGATTCTGAAATGTAATTTTGCCCTCGTTCTCCTTCAGCACTTTTGACCACTTCTCTTCCTGCCTCTTCCTTTTGCCAGTGACCATCGTGTGATCTATTCAAAGTTGTCCTTGGCCTTTCTTCCTTTCTCTTTCTCCTTTCCCTTTCCCTTCTCTCTCCTTTTTTTTTAGTTTCAACTTTTGCCTTTATGCTGGGGTTCCATATCTGGGGTCACTTTTGAGTGTTATGATCCAGTGAGACAAACTAAAAAACTAAGGTTCAGGTACTGATTTATAGCTTGAAAGGGGAGGATCTTTATTCAAACTTCACTTACTTCCTTGTATTCTCAGCTCCTTCTCAGAACCTGTTGCCGCTGGGCATGGTGGCACATGGCTATAATTCCAACACTTGGAAGGCTGAGGCAGGAGGATTGCCGTGAGTTAGAGGCCAGACTGGGCTGCATAGTGAGTTCAGGACCGGGGTGAGCTACATAGTGAGACCCAGGCTCACAAAATTAAAAAAGAAAAGAAAAGAATCTGTTGCTTTTAGCAGACAGCTATCTGATTTATCAAGAACACTCACTGTCTGGCATAACTTTCCTGTTATTTTCCATGTTTGTTTGCATTGCCACTGCTTCATTCATTCCTTCTTGTCTGTCTCAGAGGAGGAAGTTTTCTACCTGACCCTGCATTTGTGCTCAGATTCTAACTCTTCTCGTTCCTGGGCCATTGCTTCTATGCTCATACTCTCCTGGAGGGAAGTGTGTTGAGTGTCATTCCATGTCTTGCATCTTTGCCTGGCATTTTCTATGTATCCTGCACAAATGCCAGAATCATATGCCCAAAGTAGGACTCCACGAGAACAACACTTCTCCCTCCTAGATGTAAGTCCCGTAGTTCCTCTCTACCTAAAAAACAGCATAGATTTCTCAGCTAACCACCCAGTGCTTCTTACTATTTGGTGTTGATCTATATTTTTAGCCAAAGCTCCACTCTTTCTGTACCCTTATCCTAGTTTTATCAAGCTAAACTGTCTTCCATGCTTGAAGAAATATGTCTCATCTATACCTGTGCTCTCTCAGCGATTTTTGCTCTTCTGCCTTCACATACCTTCTTTTGGAAAGTTTCAGTTCAGATACTGTCTCCATGAAACTTCTCTCATGATCTTAACTAAAAGAATCTCCCAGTTCACTGAGTATTTTATTTGTTATATCTTGAGTGCTTTCATCATATTCTACCTCAATTTAGTACTTCATCTTATTCTCTCAGTGATACCGCAGAACTTCCTTGAGGGCAGAGGCTGCCCTTAGCACTTTGCCTTCGTGTGAGTAGCTCCATAAGTTTATTAATTCAGCAAGCAAACATTTATCAAGTGTCTCTGGTTATTTTCTGCCTTTTCTTTTTCAATCAGTGTTTGCTGGTTTACATGAAGGTTGCAGATGACAGCCTTCCTTCCTCTTTCTTTATCTAATACAGCCAGCATCTTGATGGGAAAGTAGTCGTCCACTGTTGCTTTGGTCATTTCATTATGCTACATACTGAGGCCTTCTGTTAGCACTGTAAATAAAATGTCTCAGCTTTGTTTTGTAGACTCTATATTAACTTCTCCAAATATTTCTGAATATCTGTAAATGTTAGGTACTGAACCAGATTCAGAGGATACAGATGGGAAGAAGATATGGATTCTTATCTCCAGGGGGCTCCTAGTTTCCTGTAACATAGAGTGGGATATGCACTGAGAGAGAGGTGCTGGGAGCTGAGGAGGAAAGGGAGCCTAATGCCTGAGAGGCAGGAAGAGAGGGAGAGGATGGGGAGAAATTGGGAATGGTTCCCTTGAGGGAATTAATGTCTGTTTTTACCTTTGAAGATAGGAGTAGGCTGGGCTGAATGTGTGTATGTGCAGGTACATGGGACATTTTTTGGAGGCACTGGTGCAAAGTGGACAGTCATTGGCTGGTGTTTAAGAGCAGCCTGAACAAAGGCATAGTAATGAGATGCTGTGTAGTATGTGAGTGACGCCTCAAGGAGTTTGGTGCTTAGGCCTGAGTTAGGGAAGATTGCAGCCCATTGTGAGCAGCTTGGACTTGATCTTTAGGGCTGTAGTTATGAAACTGTGTTTGCTGGAGTTCTAGGGTTTCTGTGGACCCTTGGAGAGGGAAAAAGAGGAGCTGTGGATCTCAAATATTTTTAAGAAGATGAGGAAAATGTTTTGAGTTGTGGGTATTGTTTTGTTTGCTACAAGGTCTCACTATACGGCCCAAGCTGGCCTCAAACTTGCAGTCCTCCTGCCTCAATTTCCCAAGTGCTGGGAATACAGGCATGTGCTTGTGATCCAGACAGAGCTTGAGTGTTGTTTCATATCAACTGTAAATGGGCACCTCTGTAAAGGATGGATGTGAAAGGTTAAGTCTGACAGCAGGAAGGCCTGTGAGAAGGCAGGGATAGTTAAAGACAAGAATAGAACAGATATTTAGAAAATGGAATAATATTTTAGAAATATTTAGAAAATGAAATTGCCTGGGTATGGCCATTATAACTGGCTATAGGGGTGTGGGAGAAGGAATGGGGAAATGAGGGAGACCTGTAAACTTTTGGCCTGGGAGGAAGAGTAAGTTTATTTGAGGGAGGAGGTGAGCTTGTTTTTCAGGACCTAGCAGAAGTATTTTGTTTCTCTCCTGTTCCTTACTTAATCCAAAGGTATCCTATCCCTGACTGCTTCAAAACTGGAATCTGCCTGCTGGTCATTGCTCTGTTCCTGCCCAGGCCTCTGTAGGCCCTGGTTCTCTCCAGTGCTGCTTCAGTGAAAATCCCAGGTGCCTACCTGATCCCTGCTCAGCTCCTCTCTTCACCCCACAGCCTCTATTCTCTCTGCCCTCACTGATGATGCCTTCTCTTTACTAAAGATTTTCAACAGTTGATTCAGTGCCAACTGAGGATGTTTAAATGATGTCATTTTGTAATTTTCAAGTATGTTTATTTTTTTCTCTTTAGGAAGATGCAAATTTCTTGCTGAAAGGGGCTTCATATTACTCTCTCTGTAGCACCCACCAGAGTGCTAAGGATATAACTGCTTTCTCAGTAAATATGCAGAATCCTAGGACATTTGATTTTGAGACAGTGGTTTTCGAACTTGACTGTGTAAAATAAATATTACATAAAAATGTAGATATTTGACCCATGGGTATGTCTAAGACAGGTGGCTTTTAAATCATTTAGAGAAACTGGCTTAAAAAAGGCTTAAATATCAACTTTTCTAGTTCTGTCACTTTATAGAAAGTTGCCCTGCTGTAAGAGAATCTTACAGAGAATTATGGGCTATGGCATGATTAGATTCCATTTTAGTAGCCTTTCTAAGGCATGTCAATGAAAACATTGGAGTGAAGATGAACAAGCCTAATTTTGTACAAGTTATATTGTTGTGTTTCTTGTAAAGCATGTCAGTAATGAAAAGAGGAAATATGATTCCTTTTCTGCAGTGCCTAAATATAAATGTCTATTTAAATGTATGTTGGTAATTCAGATAGTAAATAGACTTGTCAGTTTTCCTTGTCATCCAGAATATCAGAAATGGTGAATGCCATTTCATGCTAATCTCTTTTCTGAATTCATTCTTAAAACAAAACCAAATAAACAAACAAACAAAAACAATTCACTGACTGTGATCCAGCTGTGGTTCACCATAAATCTGTCAATAAGCTTGAAATGACTGCAGATAAAAAATGTGGGATGAATATAAAGCCTATATTTTTCAGCTGAAGAGATGAAAGGATTCTCTCCTTCTAGCTTTTCCTGATGCTTTGTCTTCTAAGTGACATACACAAGTTAATATACTGGTTTCCCTCCCGCATAGATCACATAACTTCTAATTAGCAGAGGCCAATTTTTGCTTTTAAAAAATCCATAGTGCTAAGTAGGGAAATTGGGGGAATGCTGGTGAAATAGTATATCTGAATTTCAGTAGCACCTTTGACAACATCTTTGGTAAGTTCTTTGAGGGCAATATGGAGGAAAATTCAAAAGTTTCTATTATTAGAAGGATCATATGTGCTTTAAAAACAATTCCCTGTTATCTGGAAGCAGCTGTCGTGTGCCCCAAGGCAGGAGCTGTCTTTGGACTCAACTCCTCATTTTTTTCATCAGTGATGGATTGGAAATTTCAAGGATGTGGATGCTTGTTCAATACAAGGACAATGTTTGATTAATTAGTTCTGTCAAAAATTGAATCCATCTGCCCTGCAGAATGGTGTGTGCCCATAGCTGGAAGTGTTTAGGGCAGTACCTTTGAGGCCATCTGTTAGAGATGAGCTAGAAGAGGCTCTTGGGTGGGAGAGAAGTTGAGCTAAATTGTATTTAAATTTCTTTAGAACTCTAAGATTGTATTTTACTGTACCATTTTGGCTCTAAGAGCTTAGTAAAATTTCTTTCTTGGAATCTGTTGTAAATTCTCCAATTTGTAATTTGGAAGCCTAGAGGTTTTTATGTACTCAGAGTGCTGCCATGGTGAGCCAGGGATACTTAAGGGACATAGGACAAATATGCCTACAGACATGCAAGATCTTGAATAAGTGAACGAATATAAGCAAAGAAGAACTATAAAGTTTAAATTTTCTAATGCCTGGTTACAAAACTAGCAAAAGTAAAACAGGTGAATCTGCTACTAGACACCCTATTTTCTGTCTTCTTTGATACATCTTATAAGGAATTTAAAAATCCCTAGCATTAGTAGTCTTATTTTTTTGTTCTTTGATTTTAAAACATTGGTCCAGATCATATAGCTTTCTTAAGTGTCTGAACCAAGTTGCTTAACCATTAAGAGAAAAGAAATCACATAAATGAGGGATGGATTTGTCCAACTGTGGGATCACATTTGGTGTATGATGGTTGATCCATTTGAGCTGATTATTCTGTGCCCCAGTTCCAAGAAAGGTACTGAGCTTTGTTTCTAAAGTTAGGATTTTACTTCTCTTTCCTCCCCTCAAAAAGGAAGGAGGGAAGAAATCTGTAGTGGCAGTGAAGCATCTGATGGATATCTTTGCAAGGTCAGAGCACGAGAGTTCATTCTGACAACATTATTAATAAAATTATATGAAGTATTTCAGGCACACAGTATATTAAGAGTAGCATAATAAGACCCACATAACCTCCACCCAGCTAAAGAAATAAAATATTAGCAACATTGGTGAACATGCTCAATACTCTTCTTCCTGATCTGACCAACATCTCTTCTTTAAGAAGTAGCTATGACCTCTGAGTTTCATACCTTTCATTTTTCAGATGAGGAAAAGGAATCCAGGAAGATTGGAAATTGATGTCATCTCTCACTTCAGGCTTATGAAAGCCACAAGATGCCTTCTGTTTCTTTTTGGGAGTTGGAGGCACACTTTATTGTTAGTAAATTTGTGCTGCTTCTCAGCCTTGTGGATATACTTGAGTATGTAGTGTATGTGATATGACAGCTTAGAGGTGACTTCTGTGGTCCCTGTAATTGTAGCTTTGCTTCAGTATGCATGAAGAATTGAAGGGAAGGAATTTTAGTCAACACTTTTTTTGGAATTTTGTAGTGGTATACTAAAGTCTATGTGGATGCCATTAATTTGGGGACAGTCAGATAATGTTCATCTTGTTAGAATCAAAATTGAAATAGTCTGTCACAGTGGTGGTGTTGACCTACAAAGTGATTGAAGTCCCTTCAGAACCCTGCTGTTTTGAGCCCTGAACATATTAGATGTCTTAAACCTTCAGAGAGACACTTTTGGCTAAAAAAAAAAAAAAAAAAACC